CAGGGCGCGCAGGACGGGGGCCCCGGTGCAGGGCGCAGCAGGCGGCGGGGCCGCGGCTTGTCGCGGCGGGTCGCTCGCGGGGCGTGGGCGGGACGCGGGCGGGTCGCCAGCGACGGGAAATGGACGTCCGAGCGATGGCGAGTTCTGAGCCTCTCGGGGTCTCTTAAGAGCCTCCTGGGGCCTCCCGGGAGCCTCGGGGCCGAGAGGGCCCGAAGGGTCCGTGCGGGGCACCCGTCCGGGCACGTTCTTGGAGCCGTCCCTGGGGGCTCTCGGGCAGTCTTGGAGGCGCCTTGGGCTGCCTTGGGGTCCTCTCGGGCTGCTTTTCTGGACGCCCGAAATGGGTACGGAAAGAATGGGTACAATGCCCGACAGCAGTTCCTGTCCATTTTGAGCAGGATTCGCTGTCCACGCCGCTGCGGCCTGTGTCCATTTGAAACAGAGGGCCGCCGGCCCAACAGCGGCCGCTGCTGGTTTGGGACAACATTTGCTGTTGGGCATTGTACCCATTTTCTCGGTACCCATTCCGGGCGTCCAAACCAGCGGGTCGCTGGGGCCGCGAGACGGGTCGCAGGACGGGGGGGGGGGAAGGAGGGCGTGGGGGGTCACGTGGCGGGCCGCAGGGCGCAGGACGGGGACCCGGTGCAAGACGCAGCGGGCGGCGGGCCGCGGCGGGTCGCTGGGGTCGCTCGCGGGGCCTAGGCGGGACGCGGGCGGGTCGCCAGCGGGTCGGCGGCGGGTCGCGAGGCCAGTCGCAGGAAGGGAGGGGGGCTGAGCACGGCCGAGGGTCAGAGGGCGCCTTCCTCTGCAGGACCGCGAAGAAAGGGACGCCAAGGTGGCCAACGCCTCGCCGGTTAAGCCGACGAGGATGTGCGAGATCCAACCGTTGGCTTACAGTCGGGGCGTCGACCTAAAGATAAATAAGGAACGGGGCCCCTTTTTCCCACAAGTTAAACTCCGATTTCCCATCGAAAACCAGAGGAAAACCCAAGGCAAACTGTGAAGCAATCAAGGAACACGGAGCCCCTCCCCAACGAAAAGGGTTCCTTCTTCAGGGCCCCGACTGTACGTCCGGGTGTGGTGCATCAATTTGAGCTTGACCGGACAGGTTGATTGCGCCCCTTGACGTCCGTTTGGAGTGTTCTGCAGACCTGACCCCCCTGCCCTACTCAAGGGGGGGGGGAGGGCGTGGGGGGTCACACGCGCTTCCCACCCCGACCCCCCAGGCCCCCTTTTGCTCAGGTCCGTCCTGCCCCTGGCTCTGATCGGCAGCCACGCTCTGCAGGGAGAGGCCCTGCGTCGCACCAGCACGTGGGGCGCAGGTGGTCTCACGAGTTCTACCCTCCCCCTCCCCTCCCCGAGGTTTCGTGGGCCCCTGATGAGGCGGCCAGAGCACCCGAGATGGCCCAAGAGGGCTCCCGACACTTCACAAAGTAGCGCCCAGGATGGCTCAAGAGAGCCGTAAATCGTTCAGGATGGCCTCCGACAGGCCTTCGAGAGGCCCCAGGAGGTCCACACGACGGCTCCCAGTGCTCTCGAAGCCCCCTACGGATCCCCCCAAAGAGGCCAAAATCCGCCGACCCCTTGGGGTCATCGGCGTGTGAGATGCTTCCCCCCTCCCCAAACCCCTCCCCCCGGAGCCTGGTCCGGTCGTTTTGGAGGGGGGGGGGGGGGGGTCCGGCCGGATTCCCCGGGATCCGCCGGCGCGGTCCGGGGGGGGTCATCCGCTCCAGAGAGTCTGCTGGGGGGGCCGCAAACGAGCGAAGAGGCTCCCAAGAAGCTCTGCAGACGGTCCAAGAGGGCCCCGAGTCGCCGAAAAAACACTCGAAGACGGTCAAGATGGCCTCCAGATGGCCCCAGATGCCTCCAAGACGCCCCAAGAAGCTTCCAAGACGCCTCCCAAGATGGCCCCAAGAGGCCAAAATCGTCGATTTCCATTGGTTTTTTCAACGTTTTTGGCCTTCGCGTTTTTTCGGGCTTCCGACGCTCCAAGACGGCGAAAGAAGCCCCCAAGACGGCATCAAGACGACCCGAGAGGCTCCCAAGTGGGCCCCAACACGGCCCAAGAGCGCCTCAAAACGGCTCAAGAGGGCCTTCAGACAGTCCAAGAGGGCCCACAGAGGGGCCCAAGAAAGGCTCCAGACGGGGACCACGAACCTAAAATTCTAGCCTTCCGCCCCAAAAGGCGCCAAGGAGGCCCCAAGAGGCCTCCAAGAGGCTCCAAGAAGCCCCCAAGAGGCCCCCAACAAGCCCAAAAAAAGCCCCAAGCTGCCCCAAAACAGCTCCCCAGAAGCCTCCAAACTGCCTCCCGCAGGCCCCCGAGAGGATTCTCACGACGACGGCGCCAGAGGCTCCCACAACGGTCAACGAAGCCCCCAAGATGGCCCCAAAAAGGTGCCCAGCCTACGCCGTCGAGTCTGTCGCCGCCATTGTCGTCCTCGTCGTGTTCTCCTGCTCCTTCTCATCCTCCTCTTCCGCCCCCTCCTCCCGTCTCCCCTCTCAGCTTTCTGTCTCGTATTCCCTCCACTGGCTCACTTTTCACCTTCTCCGCCTTTGGCTGCTCCCCCATCCTCCCTCCTCCACGTCCCCCTTATCCATCCCGTCCCCAGCGGTCAGATTCCTCGCAACTTCCGTGCCTTGTCGCAATGCTCGTCACTTGGTTCCGCCGGGCGTTTCGGAGGGTCTCTCCGCGGCGCTCGTCCCGCTTTAAAACACTTCGCGCACACAACTGGGTTGTTTCGCTTGAAATAATTCTTCTTCTGGTCTTTCGACAAATGGCCCCCGTCTGAAAACGCTGGTTTCTTCCCGTCCCCGTTCGGTGGGCACGCGGAGCATTCAAACTTTTTCGCCCCCGTGCGCGCATCGCCCCAGAAAAAAAAACAAGGGGTCGGCGGATGTGGCGTAAGCTTGAAGATAAATTCGAGACCTCAAGACAACACCCATGAGTTATGCCTTCTCGCCTTTTCGCTGTCGCCTCAATGTGGCCCCAAGATGGCCCAAGAAAGCCCCAAGAGGGGCCGAAGAGGCCCCCAAGACGGCCCCAAGAGCGCCCTAGAGCGCCCCAAGAGCGCCCCAAGAGCCCGCGGGACACCGGCGGGACACCGCGGGGCACCGGCCGCCGGAGGAGTTGCATTTGGTCCGGCCGCGGCCCAGCCACAGGAGTTTCTCTCGCCCCCCCACGCAGCTTCGCCTCGCCCGCACGCACACACACACACACACACACACACACACACACACACACACACACGCACACACGGCACGCACGACACGAACCCGAAACCGAAATCGATTTCCCGGTGAGGGGGGTCTCCGTTTCACGTCGGACTCACCCCCCAACCTCCTATATATACACACACACACACACACACACACTCGGTAGCCTGCAGAACTCATCGATGCAACGAGGCATACTCAGCTTCGTTTAGAAGTTTCAGAGAATCAATCATCTCCGCCAGACTGCCAGCAGTGCCATGCTCAGCTGGTCGTGGGTCAACTGGGAGCCAGGGTGACCGTTGTCGGCCGCTGCTCGTCATCAGTGGACCGATACGGACGGCGGGTGTCGGGCAGCAGCTGGTTGTCCAGTATGCATGCTTGCTCTCGTGCTTGCTTGCTCGTCTCCTGATTCGCAGGCATCAGCTCCACAAATACGCAAATTAGCACGCACGACTGCAGCTAAATGAAGGGTGGCGGCAAATGGCGCGGTAACGTCTTTGGACAGATTCGTAGCATTGTGATCCGACCCATCCCGGATGACATTCACACACTTCCGGGCATGTGGCTTCACTCGTCTTGTGCACCCACTTCTGAACCTCCTCGAAGGACGACCAGTTGTTGAAATGCGTTTTATGGTCGGCCCCAGCTTGGACATCGTACATTATCCTCAGGACCTCCTTGTAGCAGGCATCTCCCTTTTGGGGAACAGCGCACGGGGTGGTTGACGAGGTGGTCGTGCTCGTAGTGGTGGAGGTGGTCCAAGTAGTGGTGGTTGACGTCGTGCTGGTGGAGGTGACCATGAAGGGGAAGACCTGAGGCTGCGCCGGGGCCCCGTTTATCTGTTTTACCTTCTGGCGCATAGCACCCACACTGCGCGGGGACACCAAAAGGTACCACTGCCGCTCCTCCCCGGACCTCTCCCTGGGTGCGGTCGGAACAGAATGTCGAGGCGAATCTAGCCGTGGCCACGAAGGCCTCTGGTACGAGACCGATGCTGCATCACAGCAGCAATTCGGCCCCTGACTTTCGTCCTGGGCTCGGTTTAGTGAAGTGACGAATTTCGGGGTCCTTACGTGGGAAAAAACATCACTTCACTACTCTGGGGCCCCTGGGGCCTCCGTGGGCCCTGGGGCCCAAAATCTGTGAAGCGATGGCTTTCGGGCCTCGGATCTGGGGAGCACCCCAAAAAGGCGAGAGCGAAGGACGGGCAGCGGACTCCAGCGAGGCGCACACGGCCCACCCACCAAGGGAGAGCGCCGCTGGCGGGGATCTCGGCCCCCGCCGCTCCGGGCCACAGAGGGCCACCGGAGTGCGGGCCATCCCTGCGGGCTTCCGCGGCGGCCGTGCGGGGCGCCGTCCGGGCGCCCCCGGAGCGCTCTCGGCGAGGCGCAGCCGCCAGAGAGCACCCCGAGGCCTCGCCATCGCTCGGGCGTCCACTCCCTGTGAAATCTGTCGGTTTCGTGCGCGTTTTTTTCGGCGCACGGTCAAGGATGCTCCTCGATGGCCCTCGCCGAGGAAAGAACGCACACGTCCGAGCGGTGCCAGGAGGCTGGGAAGCCGCCGAGGGCCGACGGAGACGCCCGTGGGCCTGCAGCGTCGAGGCGCGAGAGGCTCGGAGCCTCGAGACGCGGAGCCTCCAGGGACCGACGGACACGCCCGGCTGCCAATCTGCGCGCCCGCCGCGGCAGGGCCGGAGGGGCCTCGCCGGGGCGAGGAGGGGCAGGAGGGGGGCGACCAGAGGAGACCGTTTTGCCCCGGCCTGCCTTCGCCCAGCCGCCCCAGTGCTGGGCCTCCTGTGGGCACGAGCAGGAGTGAAGGGGCCCAAGGACACGCCAAGAAATGCACACACAAATGAGAAGATTCCCCATATTTTCTCCTTCTGGGTTTTTGTCTTCCCCCCCACTTCCCATATTGTCCCGCATTTTCTGGGGAATCGACGATTAGTTGTGTCCGTGTGCTTCTTTCCCTCCTGAAAGGGGACGACGACGTGGAAAGCGACGATGTCCAACTGCAGGTGCTGTCCGAAATCGACGCCGACTGCTGTCGGACAGGGAGTCGCTCCTCGTTGCGTACAGTGAGACGTATACTAGTGCTGTGCGCCCCCCTCGGAGGCTTGCCCCCAGGAGGCCCCTACAAGGCCCCAAGGGGCCCACAAGAGGCTCCAAGAGGCCCCAAAGCAGACCCCCAGAGGCCTCAAAACTGCCGCCAGGAGAACCCAGAGAGGCCTCGACGGGATCCCAACGACTATCCAAGAGGCCTCAGACCCACAACCCAGGTGCGGTGGCGGGATGGGTCGAACGCCATTGGATCCGCCGCCCTCTGTGCTTGTCACAAGGGTGCCTGGCGTGCTAGATCCTACGGTCTTTGATGTTGGTTCTTTTTCCAAAAGAACTCTCCCTGGGGCGTCGGCCCGTCCCGCCGGCCACCCGGAAAAGACCGCAGAATGTATGTCAATGCCTCTCCCGTTCCACGATGGCCCAAGATGGTTTCTACGACGAGTCAGACGGCCCGAGATGGTCTCGAAGTTCGCCCGAAACATGGTCCGTTATGGCCTCCAAGACGGCCCAAAGAGGGTCCAAGATGCCTCCAAGTCCGCACAAGCAGTCCCCCAAAATGGTCCAAGATGGCCTCAAGATGGCCCAGGGCGGCCCAGGAGGCCCCCACGAGGCCCCCAAGACGGCCCAAGAGGCCTCCAAGAGGTCCTCCGGAAGGCCCGAAGATGCCAAAATCACTGATTTACCATAGGTTTTTGAAGGATGGTGGCATTTGCTTCGTTTCGATCTCCCGACGGCCCGAGACGGCCAAATGGCCCCCAAAGATCGCCCCAAGATCGCCAACGAGGCCTCCAAGATGGCCCCAGAACGGCGCAAAAGGCCTCGAAGACTGCCCCAGGAGGACCCCAAGACTGCCCAAGAGGCCTCCAAGACGCCGAAGATGGCATCCAAGACGGCTCTGGGGCACCCCAAGAGGGCCCCAAGTCGGCCCAGAGAGGCCCTCACGACAGCTTCCGAGGGCGTCAGACGGGACAGGAGGCCCCCAAGACGGCCCAAGGAGGCTCTAAGATGGCCCAAGACAGCCCAAGACGCCGCCAAGAGGTCTCCAAGACGTCCCAAGAGGCCTCCAAGAGGTCCTCCAGGAAGGCCCGAAGAGGCCGAAGTCATTGATTTTGTCTGGGGTGTTTGAAAGATGTTGGCATTTGCTTACGTTCGGCCTTCCGACGGCCCGAGACGGCCCGAGGGCCCCAAAGATCGCCCCAAGATCGCCCAAGAGGCCCCAAGATGGCCCCAGAACGGCCCGAAAGGCCCCGAAGACTGCCCCAGGAGGACCCCAAGACTGCCCAAGAGGCCTCCAAGACGCCGAAGATGGCATCCAAGACGGCCCTGGGGCACCCCAAGAGGGCCCCAAGTCGGCCCAGAGAGGCCCTCACGACAGCTTCCGAGGGCGTCAGACGGGACAGGAGGCCCCCAAGACGGCCCAAGGAGGCTCTAAGATGGCCCAAGACAGCCCAAGACGCCGCCAAGAGGTCTCCAAGACGTCCCAAGAGGCCTCCAAGAGGTCCTCCAGGAAGGCCCGAAGAGGCCGAAGTCATTGATTTTGTCTGAGGTGTTTGAAAGATGTTGGCATTTGCTTATGTTCGGCCTTCCGACGGCCCGAGACGGCCCGAGGGCCCCAAAGATCGCCCCAAGATCGCCCAAGAGGCCCCAAGATGGCCCCAGAACGGCCCGAAAGGCCCCGAAGACGGCCCAGGAGGACCCCAAGACTGCCCAAGAGGCCTCCAAGACGCCGAAGATGGCATCCAAGACGGCCCCGGAGCACCTCAAGAGGGCCCCAAGTCGGCCCAGAGAGGACCTGACGACCGCTTCCGAGGGCGGCAGACGGGCCAGGAGGCCCCCAAAACGGCCCAAGGAGGCCCCAAGATGACCCAAGACAGCCAAAAGACGCTGCCAAGAGGTCTCCAAGACGTCCCAAGAGGCCTCCAAGAGGTCCTCCAGAAGGCCCGAAGAGGCCAAAATCATTGATTTTGTCTGGGGTGTTTGAAGGATGTTGGCATTTGCTTATGTTCGGCCTTCCGACTGCCCGAGAATGCCCAAGAGCCCCAAAGATCGCCCCAAGATCGCCAACGAGGCCTCCAAGATGGCCCCAGAACGGCCCCAAAGGCCCCGAAGACGGCCCAGGAGGACCCCAAGACTGCCCAAGAGGCTTTTTTCCTTCCAACCCCGGAAAGTTACAACGCCACTGGTGAGGCGGCCCGGAGGTGAGGGTTGGTGCGATGGAGGAATGCGCTTGACCCCACCACCTGAACTCCAGAGAGGCACCACCCGATAATGGGGAAGCGAGATGGCGCTGCATCACGCTGAGAGGCTCGCCCACGCCACGCCCCACGGACTGGGCAAGGTGAGGACACAGCGGGGCGGCACGAGGAACCACTTCCAACTGATGAAAGAATGAGGCCAGATGCGGTCCGTGAAAAGACTGGGCCAACGCCCGAACATCCAAAGAGCCGCCTCAGCTCTCAACGGATGAATTGGCAGAGAAGATTGAACGTGCGAGGCCTCCGAGAGACGCCGACAGCCAGCACAAGCTGGCAGTCCAAACACAAGCTACTCAGCCAGCGTCGCAGCAAAAGGTGGGGAGGAGGCTAGTCCGAGTCGCCTGAGGACACTTGACCGCGCAGGGGCGCGCCGACGTGTCCCGAGGCTTCGGCTTGCGACAGTTGACAAACATGGTGACGAGCGGCGGCCCGAGCCAGGGCCGCACCTGCGTCCTGACGACGCAGGGCTTCCTCAGAATCAGAGCAGGAGCTGGCCCTCCTGCGCACAGGACGGCGAGCGAGACTGACCAGGGGAAGCCCGCTGGGGCCCTATGGGTGCCTATCCGACCCCACACTATTGAGAGGGCAACCCACCGAAACCGAGGGCCTCGTGGGGCGCCTCCCTCTGGAGACCTCGGACCGGACTCGCTTACCAAAACGAGTGGGCCCGCGGAGGGGCACTGCACAGGCAGGCCTTGGAACCTACCGCGCGAGGAGTAGGCCTTGCAGGCAGTGCAAGTGACAAAAACAGCACTTTCCGTCTGAGCAAGTCAGGCGGATGCAGAAATGGCCGTGGGCTTGTACATCATCGAGTGGGAGGTCACGGTGGCCCGGGCGATCTTCGACCAGGGGCTTTCGGGGCCACGATGTCCTGCGCACCCGAAGACAACTGACGCGCTGCCAAGAAGTTCCGACGCGCAACCAGGAATGAGCAAGCTCAGCACGAGCAATAATGTCCGGCTGTGGAGGACGCACACACTCGACTTCTCCGAAGTCCCTCAGGGGGCGAACCTAGGAAGCAGATGCATCGCCAGATGAGAAGGCGGAGGCGGAGACGGATGCGGAGGAGGAGGAGAAGGAGGAAGAGGAGGCGGAGGAGGATGAGGAGGAGGACGAGGAGGGGGAGAAGGAGGAGGAGGAGGAGGAGGCATAAGAGATATCCCTAGCGAGGGCGGCGTCCGATTATTTGTCGATCGGATGCCTGGCAAGAGCTGTTTGGGCCAGGGAATCCGCGCGGCTATCTCCCAGCCCCCATAACCTCAAAAGCGGGGAAATCGGTTCGCCATCGACAAACTGGCGCGCACACGTGGTCAAGGGAGGACAAAAGCTTGAATCCAGCCTCAGCCCGCGCCTGCAGGAAAAAATGCCCTGCATACACTAGCTTATCGCTCGGCTGTCTGGCACGACCTGCGGCGGAAGTCTTGAGAACGTTTTCACAACCCGAGACCATGGAGGAGGGCCCTGTGATCAACTGGACTCCTGCCAGAAAACCAGTGCTCCCCCGCTCGCGGGGCCCGGGGCACATGGGCCCACACGGGCCCCGAGGCAGAGGCAAAGAGCTCCTGGCCCGGGCAGTGCGGAACGACGCTCCGGGAGGCCCTGGAAAGCTCCTTGATAATATTACGCGCGCGCGACCCGCCAACAAAAAGCACACCTTCAAACGTCCCCGGCTTGGGGGGGGGTCCGAGTACCATCGGATATGCAAAGAACCTTCGTCCATGTACACACCTGGGGGACGACGGTCCCCAGGGCGAGGGAGGGCACCACGGGCAACCACGAACAACTTGTCGGAGGAGGAAACGCAATCCAGGAGGGACCCCAACAATTCCGATCCCACCAATTCAACTCGTTCGCCCTGTAGCTTCGGGCACTTCCGAAGCGCTTTATATATATATAATATATATATATATAATAAATTATATGTGTATATATATATATATATATTGTTTTTTTTGTTTGTTTGTTTTTTTATATATAATATATATATATATATATATATATATATATATATATATATATATTAAAAAAAAAAAAAAAAAAAAAAAAAAAAAAAAAAAAAAAAAAAAAAAAAAAAAAAATGGAAATTGGTAACCGCAACCTCGGGCACGCACGCGGGCCCATAGCCCGTCGCACACGCAACATCGAAGAAGCCCTTTTCTGGAGTGGCGTGAACTTCCTAGATGCCAAATAGGATGCAACCACATCGTAGCAGAGACGGTCGTGCCCAAAGTGGTACTTCTGGGCGAGATGAGGTGAAAAAAAAAAGCTCGTGACAGTTCCCAAGATCGCCCCGAAGCCGATTGAACTCAGGCATCCACCACCCCAGCCCAACCAGAGTCAGGCACGCCCCCGACAAGGGGCCCGAGACACCCCCCCAGGAAAGAGGCGGGCTGTTCCACACCGAAGACCACCACTGCCTCAAGTGGAAGAGCGGAATCGCGGCAGCGCGAAGGTCGGAGGAGGAGGCCCAAACTTCTT